TCTATTTTTTCAGCATGACATCGATATGTATTCCAGTAATTCCACACGTCCATTGGGTTGCAAAGAAAGATTGAATAACACCTTTCAATGGATTAAATTCAATTTGTTAACCAACTTTCTTTCATCTAATGTTCTATAGTGAATAAAACCGATTGCATTTTCAGGCTTGGTTCAATTTGTTGTAGTGGTTCAAAAATCGAAGTTGTATTTCGTATAATATTCATATATCTACCCGTAGACGGATATCTCCTCAGATAGTTTATTAGGCTAAAACTACATATACAATTGACCTAGTTTGGGCTTGATTTAATTTATACCATTCTATTTTTTCAGCATGACATCGATATGTATTCCACACGTCCATTGGGTTGCAAAGAAAGATTGAATAGCACCTTTCAATGGATTAAATTCAATTTGTTAACCAACTTTCATTTCATCTAATGTTCTATAGTGAATAAAACCGATTGCATTTTCAAGCTTGGTTCAATTTGTTGTAGTGGTTCAAAAATCAAAGTTGTATTTCGTATAATATTTATATATCTACCCGTAGACGGATATCTCCTCAGATAGTTTATTAGGCTAAAACTACATATACAATTGACCTAGTTTGGGCTTGATTTAATTTATACCATTCTATTTTTTCAGCATGACATCGATATGTATTCCACACGTCCATTGGGTTGCAAAGAAAGATTGAATAACACCTTTCAATGGATTAAATTCAATTTGTTAACCAACTTTATTTCATTTAATGTTCTATAGTGAATAAAGCCGATTGCATTTTCAAGCTTGGCTCAATTTGTTGTAGTTGAATTCGGTTTCTAAACTATTTTTGAGATCCAATAGAAAGAAATTACGGCCATTTCCAGAAGTTTATAATGACCAATAGGATGAGTCATGAGGCAAATTGATTACTAGTCATTAGGTTACTGAGTAAATAACTAAAAGAAAAGTTGCAGCTAGCCAATCGAGGCAAGAGCACACCATGATGTCTTCATAAATAACTTACAGGGACAGATATAATAACGCCAGATAGCTATCAGTCGGCTACGAGAGACTACACAAATGTAAGAAATTCAAAGCAATACCGTTCCATTTCAGCAGAAATCGCACTGAATGTGAACAACTTGCCGTACATGGTGTTCTCGTCATCAATTGCTTCCAGATTGAAATGAACGATACATTATACTGCCAAATTGCCATGCATTGAATTTATTTGCTTGTAATTTAATTATCTCTTAGGCAATGCTGTATATTCAGAAATGATTGTAAAATAAAAACAACTTCCACAATAAACAAGACTGCTACGTATTCAATAAACTTGATTGAAATAAAATATCATCAAATGTTTTCACTTGGAACAACAAAGTGAATGAATATTAATTTCATAAGCTACATTTTGTTCGGTACCTTTAAGCCTACTTCCAGATCGTGCGTCAATTTTTAATTTGCTTTGATCTACTAGCTCGGATATTTTTACCTTAAGGGATCAAGAAACGAGACCAAAAAATGAAAATGCAGATGGATTTGATCTAATAATTTGGTCGAAGACTTTAGCTTATACGTGCATTCGATCGACATTGAAATATATGCGCCACAATGTGAGGTGAAATACTTTTTAATCTGGATATTAGGTAATGACACTCCATTACCAGATGACTATTTATATTTATAATCAATGGGCGTATTAAAAGCTATCCATCTCGAAGTGGAACTTTTAACTCTTGCGATAGATGCATTTAACTTTGAAAAAGCAGCTGACTACAGTATATAGCTATTTTCAACTCTTCTCTTTTGAAGTCATATCAGATAACCTAGCGACAGCTCTGGCGAGAGAACCACAACAAAATGATAAAACATACAAAGTTCTGAAAGACGTAATTGAGAAATAGAATAGCAGCATGGTAGCAAGCCTTAGGGGTAGCTCGTCGAACGCTTGACAGTTGATCAGCCCTTATAAAACGCAAATCGATAAACTTTCTATCTATCAATAAAATTGACTTTCGTCAAAGTTAGAAACATTTATCATATGAATACGCAGCAGTTTATAAAGTATCGTAGAATTTTCTGCCTTCCTCATTATGGTTATGAATAGAGAGACTTGTAACTATGCCGTTCGTGCTATCCATGGCCATGCTATCGATATAATCACCCTGTCAGTGAAACCCTTTAAGAAAAAGTGATTGCAAGGTATGATACTGCGAATACATTCATTCGCATTAATGGTCAGTATCTTTCTCCTAAAAAAGTTATTGGGATTAGAACAGGATACAATTCTTGTCTTAGGCACTTATTGTTATTTTATTGCTTTGCCTCATTATTCAGTGAGCAATAAATTAATGCTTGTTTTTCCACTAGATCATAATGAGAATAGCTGGTTATTTGATTTGCTGGTGAAAGCCCATGTTAACTTAATGCACGCTATAAATGGAGCCATGCCATTCATTACTAAAGACGAGTTAAACAAATCAGTCACTCACATTGAACATTTAAAAGATGCCGAGCTGCGTACAGTATTTGTTTAAACGATTCTTGCTGAGAGTATCTATCGTAATTCTACAATCACGACTGCACTATACCAGTGGATTGGATATATTTTTCTAGCTCAGTCCCTGTTGCAGATAGTTATGATTAGTCTCAGGAATTGAGCTTTAATATATGAATTGATAACCTGGTTTATGGTTATAATCAATGCCTGGAACCGAGCACTAAGTTATTAATTGATCCTGCCACAAAGTTAGTATGGAAATAGAGAAAGCCTCAAGACAGACTGTCTGCCAGTGTCACAAACAGCATCGCCATGTTGCCTAGTATTTAGCTTAGTAGAAGATATCATTTTGTGGCTACCTACTGTACAATATAGCGCGAACTGCACCAAGGCAGTATTCAGTTTGGAGAATAAATAAATAAATAGAATGTAAATTACCCTACTCACAGGCCTACAGTATAGTTCTTATCCACCGTGAAGTGGTAGAAGTTAGAGGATACTGTGCCTATCAAAAGTCAAGGCATCTACGCGAGAATTAAAATCCGAGAAATCTACTCCAGTAGACACCGATTGTGTACCATTTTACTTCTAATATGCGTATTTAATCCTAGCATAGTCTATGTACAGTAGGTCCCATTCATAATAACCTCAATTACTCAGATACTTAGCGTAAATAGCTTACATGATGATACATTAAAGGGTTAAGACTTCTAAAATAACATACCATCGTTTAAGCTATTTACGCTGAGTATCTGAGTAATGGAGATTATTATAATTATGAATGGGCCTACTAAGCAGCCATGTGAACGGGCCAAAGCTTTACTATCTACTCTAACTTGATCTCAATTTAACTCTCAGAGACTTGCAGTAAAAGAAATTAACTAACTCCAGTATTTTCTGTTAGTAAGAAATAAATGATAGCGTTTACAGTGAAGGCCTTTATTGAAGCGGATAACGAATTAGAATAGTGAATATCAATACCTACTGTACATGATCATTACTATATTTTAATTATTTAAATATTAATGATATACTACGTGCTCTAGATAGTTTATTTACTTGGTATGGTAATCAGGTGCGGCTTTTGTACACAAAGACAAATGTGATAGAAATGTTTTATTTAGTAGTCGGTTTACTTATTGTAGTTTCATACATACAAATTACCTAACCACATTGCTGTAAACTTGGTAGTGGTTGTATACTTAGTGTACTCACTACAATTTGTGAATAAAGATAGCTGTGGCATAATTTCGATCTGAAAATAACTCATTCAGCCATTACTCGCATTCATTAATCAAGTTCGCTAACAAAATTATGTCACCATCGTAGCTGCGATGCGAATCATCGTTGTGGGAAACAGCAAAGATTGAGAAGATTGCTCTCAACATTTTTTTGTAGCAAGTACTGTCACAAGAAACATTTCAGTGACATTACCTTAGTATTGAAGAATGTTAATGTACTGCAGTAATTCAAGGATAAGTGCAGCATGGCTTGAGCCTTAAAAAAATCGAACAACGCACACTTGGCTTGTCTAATAAGAATACTGCCATGAGCAACAGACTAGCGGCAAAATGCCGTTTCTTACTTTACTTACGCGTATATGAGCATCGTATTACGTTTCTAAAGTACCTCTGGATTGATTAATTAAAGAGTAAGTACTATTCAGAGGTACCAGCGATTATGATTAATCGATTTAAAACGGTTTCTCATGATTTACAGCATATCATCATGATTGCACTGTAATGCATATGACTCGCTGCGAACTATAAAGTACAACCTGATGCTGCTTTTGGTATGTATAAATGTAATAAATGCAATAGTTTTAAATAAGAGATGTAGAAGATTTGAGCTAATCTGAGCAAAACCAGATCAATGTATGTGCTGATACGGTAGTATAAACATACATCGTGTATATCACTACAGAACAAAAAGTTTTTGAGTTTATTGAAATTAAGAAGCATGCGAAATTCATATTATTATATAAATCAAAACATCATATGCTGTCATTAACGTTCTATAGATGCCTACCGATGTAAACGTATGGTCATTGGAATAGTTCAACTTGAAATTTAGCTTCTTCTATGCTATGAAATACTCTGTAACAATCGTTTCGTAAATACAATACTTACATTCTATTTTAAGGGAGAGAATTTTACATTTTCAGTACTAACTTTAGCTGTACGGTAATGTTGTACAACCAAAAAGTCTTTGTTACACATTTACAACTAGAATGGCAAATCCAAATATTCAAAAAATTCAAAGATAACAAGACCAATAAGCCATTTGTCAGAACCATAACACTACATGCTATCACAATAACACAAATATACTAATATAATGAAGGTGATTGGGATAATTTTCAATCACATTATCTAAAAGCTACAATATAACAGTTTGGAGAATATGAAATTATGTTATAACAGTCAGTTACAATAGAATAAATCGATGATACAACAGTAAAAGACTAAACTTGACAGAGTTGACTATTTCAATACCATTCCTACAGTTGGTCTTAAATTTCGTCTAAAGGTTGACTCGAAGTGAAAATTTTATGAATATTTCTAGACAATGCTGGTCCGATACGGCGCTCACTAGATCCTGCAACTCCGCGACGAGCCTATAGTTTATATACGTATATCAATCCCGTCAAGTAGTTTCTTATAATGTATAATTATCAATCGCATCTCCTTAATCACTGTACATTACAATTACCAACTGCACCTTCGTGCAACTTTGAAAGAATATACAATTGGATTAAGTTAGGTAAACCAGTCTAGGTTTGCATAATATGTAATGAACATCAATACCTTGATATTAGCTAAAAGTTGATTGCAATCTTCAGCATTAGATCTATATGCCTAGTCATAGTCAAGTGAAAGTCTAGTACTTAAACATAACCCATTATACAAAAAGAAATTTTCTTTGCGATTTAAGGTCTACGGTACGGATTCCGTATCAAATCAGTACGATATTAGAAGTGAATTTCATTTAATCATTTACGTGCTATAGCAGGCAATTTTTAAACGTACCATAATTAAGTCTCCGGGTGTTTTATATTCGTTCACGATAGCCTCGGCTATATTCTGTCCTAGCTTATGAACATTAAGTAGTGCATTCTTCCATGCTTCAGACACAGAATCAGTCTTTTCTGATATCTGTAAATCAAAGAACCTCCATTTAATAGGAACAGCACACGCATCTTGTCAGATAAACTATTTTCATACTGATACAAAACGAAATAAAGATGCTCTCGATCATTAGTAATATTAAAATAATCAATTAAATATGGTCTGTAGCATAGAATTTATCATACTCGTGTAGACTTCATTCCTGATGACGATCCAGTCTCAACAAAAAAATCGAAATTTGGAGATCGCGATTTTCTTTTTAACCAACATTTAAAAAATTAAGTATAAATATTTTGTAAGTAGTGCCGCCAAAAATAAATAATAGAACAGTAGTATTTTCAAACATAACAAAATGTGAACAGGGAAAATGTATAAGTACTTAAATGGTTTCTGGGCAACAGCCTTAATGAGGCGTGCCATCATATCGCCAACGATTTCCATGTTGTCTACCAAAAAGACCTGAGTATTGGTAGAAAAGTACAAATCCAGCAATACCGACTGCAACTGATGTCTTTTCAAGGGATTTTCCCACTCTTTTTTAGTGGTCAAACCATCGCTCCTGCATACAATCAAGTTTAATTTTTGACAAATATCCATAATATTAAGCAACTACACCAGTCCAAAGGGTAGTAAGTCATAACTGAAACACTGGGCATTTGAGTTACCTAAAACAGGATGCCATCCGATCAACAAAAATATAGACAGTTTTTTTCCTGCATATTCTTTTAATCCGGTTTACAAAGGCAGTTAGGCCAGACGAGCATCCTCCATTCTGTATGATCGTTCGAATTAATAATTAAGCACGATCTCAGAGTCAAATTTAGATATAAAGCAGTAATATCTTCAACTTATAAGTACAGTAACAGCAATCTGCGTCAAGCATTAATGACAGCTTCTGAAATTTAACATAACATTACATAGTATTCATTCGTGACTTTCTGTAAAAAGTTTAAACAAGTGATGTAGACCATGATGTCTTCCGTTTCTGTAGCAGTGTGATTCACTTTAACCTGAAGTCAGTGAAAATAAATTTTTATAATAAAGTTCACCATCCAGACGATTACTAAAGTTAATCTTAACGATAGTAATACAAACATGAAATATAAATATCTTTAAGTAAAAACAATTCGTAGACCATATCAGTGATGCATAATAAATAATCATGTACGAATTTAGGAGGTAAAAATAATTAACCTTCATCTAAATCATGAAACGACACGCATACCTTGTCATCATTTTCGAAAACTCCAATACTTTCACATTTCCACAACACAGTATTTTTTACATCATTATCGGCTATCTTACAATGCGCCTTACTTTTCTTCAGACAATTCCAAATTTCCTCACCACCGTCAACTTCTAGTAAACGGCGGTCCGCTTGGACAGACATGAGCTAAAGAGTTGCAATAAAGCAGTCAGCTAGGGGTGTACATTTCATGAACGGAAAACGCCGAAATATTAGGCTTACTTCAATGCAATGTTCCATGGTATTTAATTTAGCGACCTTTTTTTCTACCTGATATTATTAGTAATATGGTAGTAGTGAAAAAATTAGTAGATTCCAACAAAAAGTAAAATAAGGAAAATACTATTACTTTTAAAGAGAAAGTATCCAATATGTTGCTATAACTGCAAATGCCTAAACTATATTATGATACCTCTTTCCTAGATTTTGCCTTTCGCTTTTCCTGTATTATTTCTTGTCTTTGCATCTTAGAGTTACTCTATAGAAAGAAATTAATTTCATGTACACTCAAAACTGGAATGCCATTTTAACGATTCTCTGTCAACTAGATAACAAAATATTGCCGGAGTTCTTGTTATCATCATTATGTTCGTATAACTGAAATATTGTATAATATTAATAGCAGAGATAACGATATAAGTTTCGTTACTTAAAGATGGTACCCTGGCCGAAAAGTACTTATTATACTTCAAACAAGATAATGAACAACTGCATGAAAAAAATGTAACATTAGTTAGTGATTGATTACCACATGCAGCCTACACCAGCTTCAATTAGTACGTTTAGTTGACTATTCTAGGTGTTACTTACAATTAAAATCCAATTCTGTTCTACCGAGTTATGTCATAATAGATGACATGTTAATTACTGAATTACTGTCTTGATTAAAATGGCTATTAAGTCATTCTATCAGTCATATTTAGACACTATCATATTAATTATCGTACAGCAATGCTACAATACTGTACACGTTATTATTACGCTTTAAGGAACGATATAAAAATTAATAAAAATTTTAAAATCATCATCACGTACTGGTTGAGCATTATCAATCCTTTTACGTTTACGCTTTTGCGTATCCTTCTTTGCGTTCGTCGCAAACATATCTACGGATTCCATTTTTCGAGTATAATCAAGTTGGTTTATTTCACTTGCTTCAGGGTCATTTTCGATGTCTTTCTCACCGTTTAATGTAGACATGCCTAGATATTCGCCATGTGATGTCTCAGAATGTAATGGGGAGAAAGCTTCCATTTTCCTTGCACCTGTTACATCGTCGTTCTTGTAATTTAATAAATTTTCAGGTACCTTATCCATAACGGTAGAGCAACTCGGCAAGCTTGAAATCGAATCAATTCCTGGCAAATTATAATTATCATCTTTTCCATCGCGAGATCGTACTGGAGAGTCTATTGCGCAAGTGCTCGGTATATCATGATCAAGATTGAAGCTTCTTAAACTTGTATTTTGATCGCTATTCCTATCATGGGTTATAGGCGATTTAACAGGTTTGTCGTTAGATGTAGAATAAATGTTGCTGTGACTCCTGTTATCATGCTTAAGGACTGAAGAATTGGAATTGTGTAACAACTTTGAAAGATCATTTTTGGCTCTTTCCGTCTTCCTTGGTTGCTGATTAACATCGCTCACCTGTGTGTATAATAGTAGCAATATTTATATTATGATTGGTTTAAGACTTGTATTGGACTACTATTCGTGATATTATCGCAAATGTTATTAAATCTCTTTACTACTGTTTCTAGGTCAGTAGTTCATTTTAGCATACACAAGTCAAGGCTGTTCTAGTTTTACGAATGAAACTATAAAGACATCATGTTAGCTTACAGGTTTATCTTTCAACGGAGACAAGTTAGAATTATTGTTGTTGTTCTCTTTAGGAATCGACAAGTGATCTAATGCTGTTTCTGCGGCTGGCTTGATCTTAATTTGGGTCTGGCTCATTTCATCCTGAGATTCCTTACTGTGTCCTTCAACATGTTCGTGTTTAGTGCTCTTTAAGTCTTCACTATCTTCTACCGATAATGTAGAATCAGAGTCTATATCACTAAACAATTTAACAGTATTTTCATCGTGGGCTACATCAGATTGCAACTTAAGAGGTTCGAATATCCCTCCATCTCCACGTTTGGTATGATGGGAAGGTCTTTTTTGATCGGATTTTTTATCGCTGCTGGTGATCCCGAAAGGAGGTGATAATGGATGACGATCTATCTCTACAGATTCTCCACCACTTGAATCTTTTCATCCACTTCTTCATCGGAATCTAAAATTACAATTGCTTGAATCGCTGTCTTGCGATCCTGATCGCCGCCTTTACTATTCTTGTTATTCTGATCTGTTGATTTCTGACTGTTTTCACTTCGGCTGGAACTTGGACCAGAATCCGACGACGATGACTTCTTATCGTTCCGCATGGGTAGCTGATTCACTGAGCTAACCACCTAATCATTTTTAATTCCCAAAAATAGTAGTCAATTAAATCATCTGATGGAGATCCCTAAAGCATCAGTTGATGATATCGAATGAGCACATTGGTTCGTCTACAACTTTCCTACGATGAGAACTCAAGCGGTACATGGCACAACGCACATCGAATGCATAATAAGAGTGCAACAATCACATCTCATTTTTATGCGTACAATGCTGCGCTAGTTCACTATTTTCCAGTGCCAACTATCTTCTTAGCTACAGTTATACTTCACTGTTAATAAATGTATATTATATTATAGTAGCAAGATTAGTTTATGCAAGCACAATTCAATGTAGAATTTGCATCTACTTATTCAAATCGGGATATCGCCTAGTACTAGTAGACCTATTGCATACCTTAGTTTCTTTAACAACAGCTTTAGCAGGTTTAGATGATGCGGAAACATAACTACTAGAAATTCCCCATTCATTACCAAGTTCTTCATCATCGTCCATGTCGATTTGATCTGATATTGCACCACCTAACCAATTACTCATTTTTATCGCGCATAATCCAATCTAGCGTCGTATTATCCAATATATTGTCTTAAGAAGCGTTTTAAAATGAACAATCCAAGCGATAATCGTCAATTTGTTATTTTTCCCAAGTCGATTACGTTTACTAAGCAATCCCCCTAGCCAAATTTGAACGAGTTAATTAGTATTTGTAGACAGTCCAATTCAATATGGATACACTAGCAATTATAAAGGTCATCAAGCCTTGGCTAGGCCTTAATGGATAAGATAACACAACTAAAATCGTTGTCTGCCTCCTGGATTATAGCTGAAATGCCAATTTCTCGATGGATATGCTACAGTACAGCATCTCAATATCTTAGCTTACAGTATGGGAATACCGTACCTATAAATGCAAGTTTACGGTATCTGTGTACAGTACTGTAGCCTAGAAATGGGGCCATATTGATATGGAGAAGGGCAGGGACTTGCAAGAAGAGGATAGCTAGCTCATTTTGGGATACTTGCAGCAATTTTTTTTATGCCAGCTGCCCTTCATAGTGGCAACCTTATTCGACTAAAGCTCTAAAATGCTCTATAACTTCAGTAGACGACGTAAGATGAGTTGATAAACATGAAATGGATGAGCAAGGCATAAAACCTGTTACAAATAGGCAAAATGAAATGAAACAGCGAGCTGTGCACTGGTTTTTTGGGCCAGAGCTAATCATCCAAACGGCTTTCGTAAAGTTTAAATCTGCATAAGCAACCAACTCACAACCTGGTAAAAGATTGAGAATAACCTGAAATATTTTCAGGCTAATCATGATATGCTGATTGAGAAACGTCGATAGAAAATTGTATTGTACATTTGAAAAATGACCGCCTCTCGAATGAGATCAGGATGTTTGTCATGATAGTAACAAATCTTAGAATTGATTGGCAAAACTATGATGACGAGATTACTAGCAATGACCATTTTCCGAGTCCAATAAGGCAAGTATGCCATATTTGGCTATCATCCTACGGTAGCATTTGGGATCTCTCACACTTGCTATCCTCATACTCGTAATTTGAGGTGAAAATTAACATTTTGCGTCAAGTAGTTCAAACTAGTTCAACCTTAATCGGGGAGTGCTTAATCCTTGGTCTTTACGCCTTAGTTAATGCTTGCAAGATTATAGCAAAGGACAAACACTACAACATAACTAGCCTGTACGATATCGTAGAAATTCGGCGAAGAGCTGGTGCTAGTGTGAGCGATTAACACTCTGATAACATATACATATACATATATTCGTACAGTATAAAGTCAATCTTTATGGTCTCTATGTCCGTTTTTCAATCTAGTAGTTGACAACGCAAGTTAATAACGTAGTTAGGCATGAAACTACTGAACGATAACGGAAACTTAGCAATATCGGATCTACACATCACTACGACGTAGCAATAGTCGAAAAATTGTGGAGATGAACACAACATAAATCATACAAAATAATATCGGGAGGTTTGGTTACTCTATCCTATGCTACGAGTCCATTTACTTTTACTTTCTAACGTAGGTTTTCAAAGTTTTAGCCATCATGACTTTTTTTCTACCTAAATTAAAGCTGTATATAAACTACGTTACTCTAGGTTTGCTTTACTGTCAAATTTTAAACAAATGATGAGCTAAAAACGATAACCCATTGTCACAAAACAGCTTTGCAACAAGATAATGTAATGTACGATCAATAAGTTAATTCCTTGAACCACGTATCAAGGAACGATATCTACACTATCAGAAACACTTTTGCTCTACTAGCAGACTACACAAAGACTTAAACGCCTCGTATTTTACGTTAAACACTAAGTTTGAGAATCCACTTTATTACACGATATACAGTACTCCATTTATATACTCTTCCTCAATAGTTCATGAGTCATAGTTAGTACGATTAACTTTGGAATCATTCACTGAATTAGATATTAATTATAGCTATTGCTCCCTTAATGCAGACAACAGTATTTACGAACATAGACATGTAATGACTAATACAGAATAGTCAGATTACGATATGTCCTCTATCACGGAACATTTCCACGATAATTTACAATCTACCATAAGTAAGTTACAATCACAATGATTCGAACTGTAAGTAGATGATTTGCGATCCCTATTATAACTATTAATTTCGGTATGTGTATATGTGTCTCTGTCATAAAATGTTAGTGCTATATTAAAAAAACAGTATATCTAAATTAGAAGTTAACTAAATAAGAATAGGCTAACAGAATTATCCGAACATAGATATTTCTACTCTAATACAGTATATAACACTGTCACACCCATTCATCGTTTCTTGAGATTGAATACGACTTTACTATTTACAGTGACTTACCGTTTATTTATTAGCATAGCAGCATGACCTAAGGAATGGCTCCATGCGATATACAGATGATGAGATAATATATCATGCTAATGATATTAACAATGTTGAATCTAGTTTGCACGCGTCTACCTGCGAAATAATGTAAAGCACATTAGCAATACGATTACTGCAGTACCAATCAATCGATTAAAACGGAAGATTTTGTCCGATTGCAACGGCTACTTCTACCGTATAATAACATCGATTATTAGAAAACACCCTGAAAATTGAATCGTTAGTGTTCGTACTTTCTGCCAATCATGCACTGCATAACTTGAAAGCAATAAAGGGTCTTCAATATTGCCGATGCCGTTTGATTTTGTTACAGATAGCTAAATAGAATGTTGATAAATTGCAAAAGATGATTCCAATTTGAACTTATGAAGGAAGGATATTCGAGTAATGAGTTCCAATAGATGAGCTTTAATTGCAAGATTATTAGAGATGTTTCGAAATTGAGCTATTAAATTGCATTAACTCAAAGCTCAATCGCTAACAAGGCTGAAGGCAAATGAGCAATTTTCGATCGAAACCAATGCCTTAGATCTTCTAACTGGATCACGACTCGATGATGATTTGATTAATATTATTATGCTAAATATAAGGCGTTTGCGAGCAGAGATATTCAAATGAGCGCATGTAGGACCGAAAGTGGAGAGGTTAACTGTACACTGTACAGTATGCCGTTTCAAATGGTGGCTTAAGCGCATGCTTTACATTTACACTAAAGTATAGGGCAGTGATCGATATTAGGCCAGACACTATTTCTATATCAAACTACGCTTTGATGACATTGGGATACTGGCCTAAACAGCTAACAGTTAGTAATCGGACATCGATCGATCTAGTACAGTGCCCAACAACGAGCTTAATGGTCTTATTTACGATTTAATCCCTTGGTATAACTCTCCGTCCAACATAATAGGACCCCTTGTACCATGAACTGGATCGTCATTTTAGCTCCATTAACTGCTTTACTAAGCCTTTCTGGATGTGGTATCATCTATAGCACATTTTATTATAAGGTAAAGGCTGTTGTTGAGTTATGATTATGATTTTAGTATTATGTACAGCATACGTACAAAGGTATCCAAATGATGCCTGTGATCTGCTTGTTCAGAGCATAATGATACCGTAATCTGAGTAGTAAATAAGCTGATTAGCAAACTCAGAGTGGCTCTATCTGTTTTCTCCTTGGCCTGCAAGAGATTTTTAAATATGCTGTGTACTGTATTAATTAGAACAAACTACAGTCTATAGCAAATACACAGTACTACAGGGTGTTCACCATAGTATGCTGCAAATGCATGATTTAATTCGATGATTGGCATGAATTGATTAATTCGTACTTCTTTTCTCCATAGCTGCAGAAATGTACAATGGTTTATGTACCTTTAGCAACGTGATTTATATTGTATGATTCAAGATACTTACCATATCACTAACAAATAACCAAATTCAATGATAACACGAATCTTCTAAGGGAATAGCCGTACGTTACTTTGTTTCCCCTTGACCTACAGAAGCGTATAACGTTTTATTTGTCACTTTGAGCTAATTAACCCAATAAATAAATACAATACAGAATGCTTATAGTACATGGCTTCGTATAATGTTGTCAGGAATCATAAGTCGTATAATTATGCAGCAATTACCTAGCATTTAGGTGTATTCTCTGCCGCAATCTGCAATAAATGCCTCGTGTAGGCGATAGACGTAAAGTATTTACTTCTTGTTATTGTAACATTCTTTTTATCTTTCCTTTTGTTATTGTAGGAAATCCTCTCAAATTGTTTTAGTTATTCCATTTGTTATTTCTCATTCTTGGTACCTACTGTCGTTCCTGTAACTATCTTTATTCTATACTTCAACTGGATGGGCTTTGAGCTATTCAAGAACAACTAATTAATTGGACTTGTAGCATGTAGTGTTACAATTCAATTGCGGTACTACACAATTCAAAACTTGGAAGAGGAAATTATCACTTGTGTTCTATTTTTCGGCATATATGCAGTATGTGCGCGCCAAAAGGCAGAGAGAAAGAATTTATCCTTTGGTAAAACAGCGTGTAAATAAACATGCAACAAAACCAGATAGAAGTTATACAATATTTGTACTAGATAATTTGCTTTATTTACAATATAACGATATGTTATATGTATCAACTTGGTACTATGTTACATATTAAATTTTCACATCATACGTCTGTAAACCAAATCATTTTTACTGATGATATACAACTATATTTACAGTTATTATATACGCAATTATCTGTGAATACACTAGTTCAAAATAATCATTAATTCAATTAGATAGCTATCAAAATTGTAAAAAAGAATTTAACTTGGAATAATTTATTAACACATGAATGATATGATGAGGCCATCTATAAAAGATGCTTCATTTTTATATTTCTGCGAACTGCATTAGTGAACCCTTCATTAAATCTATACCAAAACGAAGCCTTGAGCTCTTCAGGAAGGTTCTTATTATCTGATTCTGTTATAAAAAATGTTTATAAAATTATTGAATATTTTGAGATAGTGAAAAATTCTCAATCTTAAGATAATAAATGTCATCTATTATAAAATGTACTGGCATATATTATACAATCAATATTTACCAATAAAATACTGTAACAATAAACATATTACAAGCATTTCGTAAAGCAGACGTGTGACGGAAGAAAATATCTACACGATTACTTTATGTCCAGGATATTGATTTATATATACATGCACAATTAGAAGTAAACAATAAAGACGAAACACAGTACAGTATATAGAATTGCTTCGTACCAGAAACTGCATCCAAAAACGAATCTTGATTTCTAGCAAATGGCTGAAAAACGTCCGACATTATATATTTAAGCGCATGCAGTTAGGAATTATAGGAAAGATAAGCCACATAATATAGAACACATGTTACCTGATCTCCGCCACCACTCAATATTTCAGCAATTTTAGATTCTTTCGGTGGCATACGCTTAGTATTGACTATATCTCGTTTCAATTCTTTACTTAAGGGTTGCTGCTTACTATTATATGGTTAAATAGTCAATAAGATAAGATTCTAGGCAAAAAACCATGAAGAATATAACATTGCTGCAACAATTGCACTGTCCTTATATATATATATATATATATACTTATTTTCATCGATTGCTAATAACTTCAATTCCATAGTAAATACACAGAAGCATTCTCAGTATGATAACGAAAATCTATTAAAAACAATTTTTATGACTTACTCTAGTTCATTAATTTCATTTGCATGCCATTTTAGTTTACCGTGTTCAACCTAGCAATAAAATTTGATTTATAGGACCAATAGATCAGCAGCAGAAATCTATGCAATCAATGGTTACTTTCTGAATAATTTATAAATCGCTTTATACTCGATAACCTGCTGAGCAATAATTTGCTTGATGTTATAAGACAACTGTTTTTGCTGTGTTTGTCCAGGGTAATGGATAACCTCGTCAATTGGGCTAAATAATATGTTTATGTTTAAGTGAATAAGTTTGTTGGTTAACATTCGTATCTCGTATACAACTTTAATTATACTAACGGCTCGAATAGATAGTTATACTGTCCATCGCTGTTCCTTATCTGCTGATAGGATAAGTTATATGATATCATTGCATTAACGACGCGAAGTAATTGCTCTTTATCCGCTTGACTGTGTAACTGTGCGTTGTTCTATAATTTACATATATGAAAAGAACGTCAATTAGCAAGTTCGAAATTTCATCTTGTAGTTTAAAAATTAAATTTGTTACTCACCGCTAATCCTGCAGGAGAAAGAATTTCCAGTAATGACGGTAACAAATACATTACGACTTCACTGACAAATAAATTCCGCCGTATGGTTGGAGAAACTTCTCCCATTACGTTTAAAACTAGATAATTAATTCTTCTGATTTTTTGAGAAAACTAAAAAAAAAAAGGCTACAAATTATTTAAGGTCTCAAGAACGTCTAAGCAGTGATACGCAAATTTTAATAAGCTTATAACGTATGAACTTTTTTAGTGCGCCACCTCAAATTCACTATTAGGATAGAAAATCCTGGCAAATTGATGGCTTGAACAATTTAAGTGAAAGAAAACCGCTACATAGGGTAAATATCTCATTAGTTGAAATTCTTGTAAATGATGCATTGTTTCGGTGATAAGGTCCATATTACATAGCCAATCACAAGCGTCTGCAGTCTGCAAGAAGAAAATTCTTTGATTAGCGTTACTGACTCTAGGCTCAATTCTTGTCACATTTACTGATGATATCGCGGATCATCTAATAGCTTAATCAAGTTGGCGAAAGTAAAGCAGCATACATGCCTTATTGAGATTTTTCACACGAATAACTCATAAGTTAATTAACATCCTACAGGTCAAACGAAATCATATTTTATATTGTGCACGTATTCTTACCAACGTTAAGTATCTATCCTTGAACTTAATATTTAGATAGTTTTCAAATAAACCTAAGTTAAAGAAAGCAAAAGATACAGTATCCTTAAAATTTGATTTTATTAGATGCTTATCTGGTACACAACACTCTTTCATATTTTAAAAGTCCCTCCTTTAGAAATCTTTCACATTTACAATACACCTAATCTATGCAAACATTATGTAACTTACCTTGCATCAATTTATCATATTCTCCAGCCTTCATAGTTAAATTTAATATGTTATAAAATCTTTTCGCGGTCGATGACATTCTAGGGGTATGATCTGGTTTTGATAACGAAATTATTGAATTAAACTAAAATTTGGACTGCATATCAATATGAATAATATTACTTGGATAGTAAGAAAGATGATCCGCCTCTTTTTCAATTTGATCATTAAATACCGGCGCGCTAAACGACCTACAATGGTTAAGTAACAAATCATCAAGATCACTGAAATTGGAGTCCCTTGAAAGATATATCTAACAAACCTGTCCTTTTTCTGACGGAATATATTTTTCCATAAATCAAATAAACTGCCCTTTTGATCTTTCTGACCAATTCGAATAGTATGCACCATATCCGTAGAGAATCGATTAGATTGTCGTTGCAAGAACTACGAGTGAAAATTTAGCACAAATCATAATTATTTACAATTTGATAAATCAATGACAGTTAAGCTTGCTCAAGCATCGTATTAAAAGTACCTGTAACGTATTAATGCATGACCTAATATCATTTTCAGCTTTTGAACAAAGAGCTGATAAAGCAAACAAGTCAGTCAGTAATTTTTCCTTTCGACATATCTAGAAAACATAAGACAACAGCAGTTAATGTCAGGGGAGAAGTATTTAGTTACAACAAGTCCTTCAGAAGTCAAAGAAGGTTTTGTAAGATTTTATTTACATCTTGCAATCTTCCTGCTAATCTGTTTGTAGATGTTGGAGGAAATGTAATCACCAAAGCGTGCTGTCTCAGCTGGCGCAATGATGGAACATATCTAGTTGTCGAAAATTACATCAGATATTCTAAGCTCATATCTAAAACATTTGTAACAGTAAAGGTTATATTAACTTACTGGTCATTACAAATACAAATAATCGGTCGAGACAGAATATTTTGATGCCCTTTCGATTTCTTCTTTACTTTAGCTATCATTATTCAAGGTTAGAATTAGCCGAGTAAGCTATAAAGTGATATTATAGATAACGTCAAAGGTATGATCAACTTTATTACCATTCTCAGTGTTCCTTATAAATTTGATCAACACCTCCACAGACGCCTACAATTATAATATTGTAACGATTAAATAAATCAAGATAAAATTATAGCCGTAAAAAATAAATAGAACAATTTTTGTTCAGGCGATACATTAATCCTTAATTAAAAGAAAAACACTCCAACTTACGGTTGGAGCCCCATCAATTTCGTCAATCAGTAAGCAATTAGGCAATCCCTTTTCATCTCCACTAATTGAATGCATTTGAGTAGCTGATTCAATTCTTTGGCGAAATATTTCCACAGAGCGATCATCGCTGTATATGTTGTAAAAGATTATAAGTTAAATACAACATATGCCAGATATGTACTAAAATGAGCTCAATCTTTGTTTAATTTGCATAAACTGACCTAGCATTCATCTCTAATACATTATATCCAGCGTGTCTAGCAATGACGTGAGCAAGTGTCGTTTTACCTAATCCTGGAGGCCCACAAAGTAACGCGACCTAAGGCATAAGTAAAGCAGTACTTTAATTTTTTCTTGCAGTGCCACATCTTTTGTATTCACGAACTACCGTTCATTAGCATCACTTTATCTTATCAAACCTTCTTTAAAGGGCGATTTTGAGTGTCGACGGCCTATGAATTTATTTTGAACAGCATGTCAGACAATGAAGCAAAATACACATTCGAAAGGTAAACTTTAGCGCAAATTTTACCAATTGATTTGCAAGTGTTTCATCAGGAATATTGAAATCTTTGCCAAAAACAGTCTTATCCCATAATTTTAGCCATGACAGTAAGCTACGGTTTGTTGACTATGTACAGTGCGATAAAATGATCAATGGCAACGATAAGCAGAGGGCTATCAATATTTGAAACATTAAATAGTTACTGTAGTATCAGATATTGCGCTAATCACAAGCCCAAGGCATAAATTTAATGGCTGATTTCATTATTATAAATTATTTGATACGAATAGTAATTTTATAGCGTCAAGGCAGCAATGATAATGCCTATTCTACATAAACAAGAATAAATGTCTGTTAACGCTATTGCCTTACATGATCACTAAGTAATTCTCTATAATGATGCGGAGAATATTTATCAACCCATAATGATACCATTGCTTTTGATTTCTGCTTTTCGTCTTGATGACTAACATTACCATCTGTATCATTTGCATCACCCTCCTCTATTTCCCTGCAATTAAATAATAAATTTAAACACTTTTTTATAAATATGTGAAAAATGATCATTAATTCTGCGTTAATACTATTATTACGATCATCTCTTACTTATTGTTACGAAATAAAGATAAAAACGTAGTAATACAAACATTTTGCTAGGTTCCGCTTCAGTATTGGTCGTATTCAATAATTTCTTAAGTCTCTATTAGATATACAATATTGGATGTGTAAGGTTAGAATGAAGTAGAACAGAACTATCTTAACTGAATTTTGCAAATTGTGTACGGTTAACTTACCATTTCTTCTACTTGATCCCTTAAGATACTAAATGGAGTTGATAATAATTGTAACTGTCCTGATGGTGAAATTAGTTGCCCTTTCGAATGATTCCGACTTGCTAGCAGTGGACTGCCAAAATTATCGGTGTCACTTTTTTTAAACCGAACATAAACTCTCCTACCATCGCTACCAGTAACAGGCAACCATTCGCTTCCAATCAATGGTATAGATACTACATTAGGAATATTTTGATCAATTTCAGATGCTAACGGAGAATGGCAGTGGTGGGTATCAGTAGCTTCAACATTATCTGTCGTTGTTGAATTCTTGCTTTTCTTCGATTCTAACGTGTAAGTTGTAGTTTAGTATTTATTGCTACAGTATAAATAGTTTGTAGATGCTGAAAAGATTTTCAGTCAGCGTAACAAATGAAATGGGATTCAACAGCATTATTAATACAACAATTAATTTAGCATAGGTTTGTAAAATTGTAGCCAGCTCCAAATATATTATTACCTGGCAATGAAAATGAACTTTGCTGGTTTGAACTCGATTCATCAACTAATGGTTGGTCGTATGAGAGCTTACGTTTTGACTTTGGCTCATTTTCATCCTGATTCGCTACATTATTGGAAAAACCAGGAATTATTAGCAAATCAATCCGCTATGATCTCCTTTACAGTATGAAAATGTTTTATTTGCCATAAATGATAAGTGTATTCGAAAATAGGAATCGATGGCATGGTGACTCTTTTGTGATTGCTAGCTAGTGTCATCAACACCACAGCAATATACCGTAACTTATCTAGCTGATAAAGGCGATATAATCCACACCGCTTATTGTATCAATAGAAAATATATTAATAATGCATGTAGTTTATAACAGTTCTTTTTAAAAGGCTTAGACATCAGGTGCAATGAACATACCGTAGTCATTCTATGATGTCTAAACTCCAATATTTTATAGAATGAGAACGACTATGGGCTGATCAATGCCATTTATAGAATAGTAGTTCATAAAACGACTACCGTATTAATTATTGGTAATTTATTACAGACAAGATCATCCATTAAAATGACCTATTATAGATAAGTCACTTCAGTTTTTTTGCTTACTTATAGGTGAATTAAGTATACAGCAGTGTTATATTCATTCAAGATTGTAAAATTTTATAGAATAGGAACGACTATTGCCTACAAAATGCCACTTATAATATCTAGTAACCACATTATTATGAGACAAAGCCATTGCTATACCAAAAGACCTGTTGAATACCCCACCATGGAGTGCAATACGTAGGAGGTAGCAAGACATATCAAATCGATTTCAATGACGCATATCCATTTTTGACTAACCTTCTACTTCTTTCATCACTTCAAATTCATCTTCAAAGCGTTTTTCAAAGTCTTCTTCGTTTTGCTGCTGATAAAACTGATCAATTTCATCCTCGAGTGATATTGACATGGTTACGATTTGTAGTTTCTTTTTCTTTCATTAAATGGTATCTACAGTAGATCAAGATCATGCAATAGTTTCAGTATAATTCGAGGCAATATTGTAAAAGACCCTCCGCTATACCGTTTTAAATCAATAACCATCCTATTTATGGCTAGAATTAATTGAAAATGGGTAAAAGGAAGTATATCCAAAACGAGTAAATGATTCAAGCCAACTTTCAGAAAAAAATTCACTGACAATAACATTGCATCCGTCGTTATTTTACCTGTATACTCGTATTGTAAGAATGAGATTACTCTACTGCCTATCTTCTCTTTTCTTCCCTTTGACTGTAATTACTCTGGCTAATAATATTATCAATTAATACAGGATCTATTTTATTCATTCAACTTGTTTCTTCCTGGGATTAATCCTTCATTTTCCCATTTTTTCATTGAGAAGATGGAGAATTTGAAGACGAACTTGTTGCTGACGATTGCATCGTAGTACGGAGGTCAACTGACACACTTCAACCCAGGCTGCTCACCTCTACCGGTACAGTACGTCTAATTGAACCGAACCGAACCGAACCGATCCTCGGTCTAAGTCTATATCATACTGTACCGTCTGCACATTCAGTCTATTGGATACAAATTGCTACAGTGGCAGAAATTTCCCGCCAACTTCCTGTTACAAAATTCAAAGCCAGCTTATATAAATTACTCTACTGTATTCTGTACCATGAAGCAGTCCATCACCGTATAAATTATAGGGAGAATTGTGTCCGATACTGAACTAAGATAGTCGACGTTACTCTTGTCATGGATATCTACTAGCCAGAAGCATTTTGCATCCATTTCTTTGCACACTTTGTTGAAGCTGTCTTGCTTCTATAGTAGATATTGCGTGAGATTGGACGATTTCTTGATTTTTTTTTTCTTAGATATGTCAATATATGTCTAATGTATCAGTAGGACAGCTTAAACCGAGTGTACAAAGTAATGAATGCAAAATGCTTCTGGCTAATATGTACCCGTTTGAATACGAAGTTCAGTGTATTTGCGAAATGCCTAGTCAGTTGGCAAACTGAAAAAATTCCAATAGACGTAAATCAGAGAAACGATCTTTATTCAAGCAGTAATATTACTCATAAAATCAGAGAATCTCTATTTCTTGGATGATTATAATAGTAACTATTATAATAATAAACTAATTCAAATTATCAATATATATGTAACGTGGAATTGCCAAATATTTCGAGATACTATTATCAATGAAGTAGCTATTATTGAATTAATAATGTTCTGATTATGAAAATTATTATTTATTTTGACAAGTTCTATGATTATGACATTTACTGTTACACTGAACATTAACCTTGAAATATTTGCATCGGTTAATGATACAAGATGTATAGCTTTTGCAAATTGACTGGATTTCGTACTTGGGCGGTAACAGGATGTTATACAACATAGTGCAAACTTCAATGGCCGATTTGTAGAATGTCTACCGGTACAATTTGTATACTTTGCAGTAAATTAAATGTAGAAAGTTGCTTACACATTCGATAGCTACTGTAAATCTTCGTATCGAAAAATCCTTTGCAAAGCAGCAGTAGAAACTAGAGACCTGAAAAATTGGATTGAAAATACTGTGCAATGACTACTGGAGGAGCAATTCGCATTTTCCACTGCAGTGAATAACATGTACACTGAATACTGCAATGGTCGATTCTCGAAAAGACTGCAGTAACATACATCTGTCAAGATGCAGTATTTAGTATTTGCATAATGTGTCACGAGAGCGACATCTTCTAAGAAATATTATCATTTAGTATCGCTAATTTTATGCAGTAGCAGTGTACAGTACGTCCCAGCCCCTCCAATATACTCGTAGAAGCATTGATCCCGCTCATATAGGATATCTCGTAAATAACTTACATAATTAACACTATAGTAAAGTAATTAGAAATTATTGGCGTAATATTTTCGTAGCATTGCAATACATGCAAATCGATTCACAGAAGTAATCATGTAATGCCTCATATTGATCTTTAAAGGTAAAAACTTGAGGGCATGAAGTGTAAAAATTATTACCACAGTCAATACAATTTTAGGATATCTACAGTAATACTGTACAGTAAGCGTACAAGTAAATTTGAGCCAATTTAAAGCAATAAATTAGCGCTATAAATGACCAAAAGTAAAATTACATACTGTAGATACAGATATGCCGTACTGATTATACAACAAAAGATGGAGAAAAAATTGGATATTTTTAATTTAGTAACGATCACTCGATCAATAATAGTGTAATACTCTAAATTCATAAGCATGCGTCCAAAGTACGTTTTATTAGGCACGTACAAACATAGCTGGACGTCTACCGACTCTAAGGACCAGCAGGCTAGTCATTTGAAATTTCATTTTAGATACCCAAGCAAAGGCAATGGATAGTACAATATTGTTGTAAATTAATAATAGCTAAAACAAGCCAACTGTACATAGATATATGGTAAGCAGTACAAACAGTATGTTGTGTATTGTATTTACAACTACAGACAAAAAAATCTCTTGGCTGACGCTAAATAAGCCAATATACAGAACGAAGAGTGCTCAAATATGGAATTTCAGACTATTCCACACACAAGCAGAATAGTCAACAGAATATTTTAATGCTGTATTATCTTTAAGTGATGTTCCAATATTCGGCAAGATAACCAAACATTTGACGTGATTATTAATCGAGATATTACGGTAATTTATGATAGCTTGAATAATATTACAAATAAAGACCTATAAGATTGCTGACATTGACATACAATATAGTATTTCGCAAATTTTCATGTGATCTTCCGATGGAGATATTGATGATAAAAAAAATTTCTTTAACTCCTATTATTAGTTAATGCATGTCCAAATTTGAAATATTTATAGATACCTAGCCTCGTAGCTGTTAACATGATTTGATCGTTTGACGTTAATTAACTATGCGTTAGAAACTTTCACAAATTAACATTAATGAAACATTCAAATTGTAGTATTGAATACGACTATAATTTTAAATATATTTCTTAAGCCAAATATAAACTTTTCTAGTCTTCAAATTCAACATTGCCGTCTGTACTAAACCTTGTACGTTTTTCGGAAGGTCCTTCTGATGTCGCTTGACGTTTCGAAGAGGTAGCGCCATCATTTTTTTGTAATCGTAAAATGGATACTAAAGCTCCATCTTTACTATTACCGACTCCATCTGCTTGTTCCTGACTGGCTTTGACCGGAGTTGGCTTGATTATTTTATGGTCTCGCTCTTCCACACTATCTTCATTACTGTCGTCGTTGCTTTGCTGAGTATCAAATTTCTCAGAACGCGCTTTGCCTTCCGATTTAACAACTGCGCTGTTGACTGCTCTAAAAGCTACAGGAGAGCTCCGCGAAGGGGAGGATGGTGCCGATTTTACATAACTACTTCTTCCACCGGAGCTCTTTTTAGGTGGTTGAAAGTCGGGGCTATCCTCTTCAGGAATCGGTGAATTGTCTCTTGATGCATTGGGGGTATTACTGAAAGAATCGGGCGTAGCGAATAATAGCTGAGATGGAGAAGCTGGAGCAGATCTGTTACAACAAAGCACGAACGTGTAAAAATTAGTATCATCCACAATAATTTAAGTGAATGAAAACTTCCGACAATACATACCTCGTTGAAGAATATCTAAATGACGGGACACCACGCTGTCTCCGTCTTCTAAATGCTTGTTCCATTAACTTTTGCTCAGACATACTATCTAACTTCCAAAATGAACCTTTCCCAGGTTCATCTGGAGATCGTGGGACCTTTAAGAAGTATCTATTAAGAGACAAGTTGTGCCTAATTGAATTCTGCAATGTAAAAAGCAAAAATATCATCAGTAAACTTCTATGCACTAGTACTATCTAAAATCAAATATGGTAACAAATAAGCTGTATACCGACACGAATAGCAATTTAAGTAATACTGAATTGTTAACACGCTAACCTGCCATCCCTTATCCGCAGTTCGGTAATACGGGTAATTCCGTGTTATATAGGAATAAATGCCACTTAGCGTAAGCTGTTTATCAGATTCGGACATTATTGCTTGTACAATTAATTGCGCGTAAGAATAAGGCGGCTTCGATGTACCATCTCTTCTGTCTTCTTGTGCTTCCCTCCTTCTCGACATTGCTTCCATTGCAGCGGATGAAATATTAATTCGGGGATGGAAATTTCGAATTTCAGACCTAGGGCTTCCCGGACAGGAGTTGTAAGCACTAAACACAACACATTACATTAGGACTGACACTTTAAAGCAGATACTATAATGAGAAGAATTCATTAATAAAACCAATAAATTAGACTTGTCAATGCGTATTTTATGTTGGTAAGATGAGGTTTAAAACGATACGATTTTTATACTTTGGAACTCATACGTCCACACAAGTTCAGCACAATTCAATAAACGATAAAGGATAAACAGGTAGCTTAATATACTATATCTACACAAGTTTACTTAGAAAAATACTCTAGAATAGCCACGATCCAACATTTATTGCTGATAACATTGTAAGATTCCAATATCAATTAATTAAAAGGCTCTTAAAAGTATTAACAATCGATAAGCTATCATACATTATATGTAATCAATTAAATTAAAGGAAATTAAATAAGCATTAAAGCAATTCTTTGTTCTGCTAATGCAGCGAAAAATACCGCTGATAAATAGCATAGCAAGTGATGGAAAATATTACAGCAATTTTATCCATCATAGGTTTACATTCGAGTAATTTCTACACACCTAATAGTACCAGTGGGGGATGGAGGATTAGATGAATCATAAGTGATATTACTTCCAGCTTTACTATGCTCTTTGCGCGTCGCTTGAGTTGTTCCTGCTTTATTGTTTTGTTGGCTGTCCTGGCTTTGAGATGCAGGTAAAGCAGCTGACTTAGTAGGTGATCCAGAGGATGAGTGACCATTGTTGCTCATTAAAGAAGTGAACACGACACGGATGTTGGTAGAGGGAAATCTCATAGAACAACTACTGATAAATGATAATTTTAATCAAGACTCTGGTTATTTTTAGCAGGATATAAAACAACCGCAACACAAAGTGTATCATATCTAACAACGCGTTTTTACTGTAAAGGATTTTAAGTTTGCACCTTCATTGATAATATTACTTTATATGCTAATCCTATTCGCACATTCTAAATAATGGAAAAGATACTCCAATAGATGTGTCAAAATTGATTAATATTGCTAGGTAATTGAACGCAGAAATACTTTGGTAATGATGCTAAGATAATTCGTACATTCATTGTCATTTTTAATATCATCTGATGACGCTCAAACATGGTTTCATAATTTAAAAGTACTTTACAATGAAGATTTCGCAGTATCCTCATTAGAAGATATTACATTATTACTGATTACCTACTGCACACTTACACTACTAACACTGCTACTATTTTACTTAGTGCCTACGCTAATCGCAGCTATTTCGTCAGTATGTAAAACGTAGAAACAGTGATATATTACTGCAAGAAATCCTTAGCAATATCGGATGATTGTATATATCAATTATTGTGTAAATTCTGCCATTACTCATTTCTTTTGGTAGCTGCAATGTGCATGCGATATGAGTCAATGTCGTGGACACTGGACATTGATTTTGTTTATTAGGGGCATACCGCAGAGGTGAAATAAATCCTCTAATTAAAAGTTAGAAATATTGGCTGTACGCACTTGAAGAAATGATGATCGACTCTATTTATTTATATAAAACTAAACTAAACAGCGAATACGTAATAACACCCTGATTATACGGCATACCAGTATATGTCGCACGTTTGCACGTTGTACTGTATGTTATAACTTCAATGCTTAACTATCGTCAGTAACTATAGCTGTTCATTACCTATTGTTATTGGCGAAATGTTACATAGAGTACATTGTATAAACTACTACATTAATGATTATTTTGGATTATTGCAAGGATCATAGCCGAAATTATCAGTAAACAACAAGACCATTTATTGCCACTTTTTACACGTACATGTATTGCCTTCATGACGGTCACTATCGTACAATGTTGAGGCTCTGTCTAATATAGTAACTGCCATTACCCACGTTATATACTGATACAATCAGCAGTGAAATCATGCTTCCCTATCGATATTAGGATTCTGTATCACTTTAGTGCAATTATTGACGCCATTTCCTCGTCTATATAATATAGCCCCACGGGGATAGCAACACATCTACCCCCAGGCAAGACTAGTAAAAAAGTACTGTATACTGTGCAGATTGGAGTTTCATTTAGGCATGCATGTGGAGAGATCCCGAGGTCTTATGAGCTTTTGACGTCACGATGATGCTCCATGTGATGTAATAGTTGCACCCGACGATGACAAGAACTGCTCCAGTTACAGATAATTCTACCGATCCTGGCTACTGAACTACAATTAGAGAATGCAGTATACTGCATACTGTACTCGGATAGTTGGGCTGAAAATTGAGTTCAAAACATGGACGATAAGAAATAATTCCCTCCTGTGAGTACTTTAGGGGGCCATTCTACATAGGCATAGTGAGTAAACGCTTGACGTATTTCCCTCATGTACCTTAACGTGTCTCTACATCTAGAGTCGAGAACTACAGTACAGTAGAGTACAGTATAGTAGGGTACTGTTCTGTTTCACTCTATGCGACCCATACTGTACAGTACCGAGCGATCCTACATCTCCAACACTATTACCGCAGGGTACTACAGTACATGATACAGTACTTTACAGTAAAATACTGTAGAGTGTAGAATTGTACGGTACTGTAGGCCAGAAAATGCCACGTAAAAATGTGCGTCAAATCTAGACTGATGGGTCGTCCAACAAGCCAATATTGACGTTATAGTATGGCATTCTAGGGCTGTTGTACTTCAAAAATATCGCATAACCACCACGCGGGTTCCTTTAACTACTAATCGTCTTCATATTTATTTTACCTACTGTATATATGATGGTTTATAACTATTTCCTGGCTACATCGGTTAAAACATTGAACGTCATTGACCTTATTACACTAGCAGAAATGATTCTACATACCGTAGAAGTGATCATGTTCTTGTATGGAGTAGAAACCACACCGTCAAATTAAAGTACAGTGTACGGAAACTTTAACACACGATCTGTTAACATAATATGAAAATACAAAATCGCCGCTGTCGGAAACAGGAACACGATAATAAATCTGTACTGAAGTAATGTACACTCGTTTTATCCCATAACTCCTCGTCACGACTTCATGCTGGAGAGTATTGTATATCATCAATGAGTCCCCTCCTTTCCTTGGTTTTTAGTAGTGAATAGTGTACGATAAATACAATGGTACAGTAGGGCATGTAAGCAGTAAAAGGCATTTCATCCCCAAACATACAGTACGGTATGTACAATGAATATGCCTTACATATACAATGTTAATATGTTAGTAGGATAACGTATGCTAGGGAGAGTATTGATGTGCCAAGTAAACATAAGGGGAACATCGAAATTCTATATCCAAGTTTCAAAGAAATGCAACGTGTATGCTCTGAAGTTTTTACTTTACTTGACAAATTCTAGCGGGTTGTAATCGGAAGGCTATTACTGTACAGTTGTACTACTGCACACTGCTCATCCAGTGGTAATGGTACCGTGAATACAATACAAGAATAATGTTGAGTGAATTATTCATCAACTACTGTACAATTAGACTATAAAGTGATTCAAATTAAAATTACTCAAAATTATCAAGCTGACATGATGGACAAGGTAACTGTAAAAATCATATTGCCATTTCCGTCTTGGCACATTCTAATTCTACAGGACAGTAGACGAATCTAAAGCATGCAAATGACCGTGGCGAATACCATGTTGTACTATTCAATGTACACTATTGTACAAGTTACCGTACCGACTAACCCAACAAGCATACGTGATCAGCATTCAATATTGTACTGTACTAACCTTTGAGGCAATTCTACCGGTGGTGCACCTCTTCTGTGAAAGATACCATCGATAAATATACCATTCTTGCCTTTACACAGTAAATAGAAGCCAGGCCATTCACATCGGATTTCTAAATGGCATCTTGAGATGAAACTAGAATTACCTAATGTTACGTCCACATCTCCCAATTTACTATTGCGACCAATTGTAGTTACAGATTTACGGATGTAATAATCAAATTCGCGTCCTTCCAATCGAGCAATTGGAGAATTATATTCAACTTCATTGCTTGAACGTTTCGGTGAACTATCTGGCGTTTTCAAGCTTAACAATGCCCATGCATCGCTAGCGGCATCACTAGTCACTATCTTGCTGTTATTATTACTGCCTCCACCGTCCGCCATTTCGATTTTAACCAAACTTCAGGGGTACGTCTTCAATGCAATTGTCCAGCGGTCAAGAGTAAAACGTGATATGGTGGGGCAAGTTGGATGTCGTGTGTGTTGAAGTGGTCGAAGTCTCCAAACTCGACGTTGTGAGCCGTGACGTGCTGGTTGTATGTACTGTACTGTATACTTTTACAGTACAAGTTTACAGTACGTTTTACAGTCTGTGCGAGTGGTAAGTACTGTACAGTACTTCATATGAATTGAAACTTGGCTCGGCATTGACAGAGCATCAGGAGTGCACCAGCAGCAGTTGACTACAGTACGCTGTACTGTACAGTACAATACAGTACAGTAGTTTCAGCAATGTTTTGTAAAAGAATCAAAAAAGTACTGTAAGTTACAGTACAATGTACACTGGACGGTCTAGTACAATATTGTGTACTGTACGTACAGTACAGTACTGGACTGGACTGATCTAAACAAAAGAAAGAAAACAAATACTGTACGATAAATAAAAAAAAATATATTATCAAAAAATAATATAATAATATTATAATAATAATAATAATAATAAAATGGTTCAGTTTATTCAATCTGTTTACAACCGTTGTGCTGTATACAGTAGTTTAATTTAAGCAGGGACTACAGTAGTCGGGACTTGTAATTAAGAGGGCTAACCCAGTATGGTTCCTAAAAAGAAATCAGCCCCACCATGCCACGAGCTAGTAGATGTCATTAATCATTACAAGTCCTTGTTTACAAGTTTAAACCTTCTTATCCTACCAGGGTCTACGGTAGATTGTACTAGATTAATCTTGAAAATTCACCGTCCATAAATATCGAATTTTTTTGTCATCTACAGTATTCTACCGTGCCAAACTGCATTACAGTGTAGCACTGTATCACTGTAGATCATCGTCTTAATAACGTCTTAAATACATGGTCACACTGCAATACTAATGGTGGTGATGGTGTTGTTATACGAGTATGCTGTGAAAGCAGACTGACCAACCATACGGTGCATCTATAATTCTAATTATCTATTACATGAACAGGTTTTCAACTTGTTAAGGTAACAGTAGCACTGAACTGGCCGTTTAGTAAAGCAGTAACAGCTGAGAGCTGATAATTGAACAAAAATAAAATCCATCGATGTACTACTGAATACAAGTTCAACAAGATGGCAATACAATACAGTACTGCAGTACAGGCCAAGGCAGATACTGGTTATACAGTACTGTATTGTGCACTGTGATTTGCAATACTACTGGTAACTGTTAAGCCTCACTGGAGGCCTGCAGCAATGTGCAAGCCGTAATGCTCATTGTGCGCTAATTAAACAGCGTAAACAGTAAACAAATACAGTATAGTAGTAAATTAAATTAGAATCATCTCCAAATTAACACTACTGTACTGAGGAAAAACGAATGGTTCAATTATTATACAGTATCGCTCCATAAACTGGCACTTATAAAATATATATAATCTTTTAATGTGAAGCAAAGTATAATGCAGTAGATCATTCACTAAGTGTAAAGTCTAAAAATGATACGTCAATGTTTTGCATCAACACAACCAGCTTGGTTAATCTTATTTACGAAATGTCAAATATTATTGATTTGTTATTTGTTTACCTTAGCCAAAGTACGTGCATTCTATTTGGGTAACGAACGCTCGATAATAAATGCATAACGGTAATGTAATGTGACTACTGCTCTGTCTAGTGTACGCAACTCCTGTCCATAATCCCATTAAAATCGAATTAATGAAATATGCCTAAATTTGTAATTGCGAAACCCGTAACGAGCTTCATAACGATCGCTCCAGTAGTTACAGGTGATACAGTGTACGCAAATGCATAATCCTTGTATGCAATTTTCCTACACGTGCCTTGAGGGGTGTTATGCAATACTCTACCGAAAAGCATTTACTGTAAATTGTTTCTTGGGTGTATTTCGTAAATTCTCTTTAAATTCATTGTAGATTCCTCAAGATGTTATTGTAAAGTTTGTACATATCTTGAATAATTCACAAATATTTCATTACTAGGAATGGAATGATAAAATTGGCTTACTCTTGTGGTTACTAACTTTACCATTGCTACTACCAGAAAGAATATCAACTTACTCTCTTATAGCACAGTATATACCTATTTCAAAATGATGAAGCCCTACACCAGTGCTTTATTCTGCATTAGCAACAGCGATTGAAATTTTGATACATTTCAACTATTAATCGCAAAGCAAATTATTTGACTTATGTACGTGTTTTATCTGAACGAATGGGAAGTTAACACTTCCACAGTTAGTTTGCATAAAAGTATGGAAATACCTAAACAAAAGAGGACAATCACCAGTAATGAATGTATCATTATAAAAGTCTGCTTACGTAATCAAAATAACTTCTCGTCAAATAATTATAATATACATTTTAATTGGTTAAGAAACTTATAGTCGCGAGTAAGCGCTGCAGTAATATCAATCATGTTATAATTAAAAATAGTCATACACATTTTTACTAACTACGATAGCTACATAGAGCTGCACTTGTGACTTTAATTACTAAATTCATAATACTGTACTTACTGATTCAACTAGGAAAAAATACAGTGTAAAAGTCATCAAGGACAATGTTATGTTATATACGTACACTACTTCGTGAGACCCCAACATCAATTGACTCACATCATACTACTGTACCATTATAAACAATTTACGGTAGTTTGGGTTATAACGTACACCACATTTCAAAAATGCAAATTATTTTGTTATAATTTCTGATAATGATAGCAAAAGGTCTATAGGGCTGCTATACCCTTGCTTATATTAACAGCCTTAGTAAAAACAAACAAAAACTAGGAAGAGAATTAATCTTAGATAATTTATAAATGTATTTCATATAAAAATAAGCAAGATCTAGGAATCACCGTCTTGCACAAGTTGAAGTTGATTGCGACGATAATGCTCATAGTAAACTTCAGCAGTTGTATCTATCAAATCATGTAAGTGAGTCCTATCAAAATAAACCAAAAGTTTTTATTAATAGTAGTTATAATTAGTAAGTAAATGATGACAATTTTGCCATCCCACTACGCCTTAAAATAACGTTTGATCAGTAGATTGTAATGGAAATAGTAGAGCATTATCCTCAAATATTGACATTATAATACGTTAGCAATACCTGAGAAGCATATCACGAAATTGAGGAAATTCATTATGACTTGGATTTTCAACTGTAAGAGAAATGAACCAAAAGCACTCGAATCAGATCTCATTAATCCTCTATAGTTAATCCATACCAGTAACTGATGACATTGTTACCTTCAATAGTGCCCCATCTAGTTTTCCTAGCTAAGACTGGTGTTCCTTTAATGGACATAAATTGATCACTACCAACCACAGCAAATGGTAGTTGATTCTATGGTATAAAAAAGAATGATTACAATGCAAACGCAAATTGGATTCCAACTAACGAAGAAAAAAGTAACATGAAAATCCTTCCATATTGACTTGATTAAACACTGAATTTAGCAAAATTATACCTTAATGGCCTTATTTTTCTGGAATTCATCTTCTTCAAGGCCTTTATGAAGCATTGGATACAGTTTAGAAATGCCATTTCTCTCAAAGTCATTACGAATCTATATTAGATGATAACACCAGCATAGGTTATCCGATTTGTACTCTACACTGGATGAGACTTTTTACCAACTTCTTCATGATTGCACATAGTGATACAAACCCTATTTTTAAACGCCTGTCTTTCTTCCAAGGTCAAGCTATCGGCTTTAGCGATAACTGGAATCACGTTTACAACTTTTACCAATCGCTTTAAACATTCAACATCAATAGCTCTAAGGCTGAAATTTTGGTACATAGCAAATATTGCTGTCAGATTATTTATTGTTGTATCTCAACTATGTTCTACGCTTACAACGTAATATTGTATACCTATGTCCAGTTGGAGCAATAAAATAGATTACACAGTGAATTCTTGTGTCTGGAATTCGAGGTTTACGTTCAATACGTCTCTCTTCACTTAGGTAATGCTGATACTGATCATTAATGTACTTTATAATCGGCTCCCAGCTATGGACGTAAAGTTCGTAAATAGATTACTATTAAGTGATAAAGACTTCTGTAAATTACTTTAAAAGCCTATATAGATGTCTTACCATTTAACATTGTTAACGTGATCTCCAAAACCTGGAGTATCCGTTATGCTTAGTTTTAGACGAATGTTCTTCTCTTCAATTACTATTAAGAAGTAGAATTATACAACTGAGCATCAAGTATCCTATCAACAGCTATGGATACTATGAAAAACTACCGTGAGAAATAGTCTTAATTTCTACAGTTGGCGGAATTATTGGCTCTTGACTAGTATCTGATGCCATCCATCGATTCACTTTGCTCTTGAACAATGTGTTCATCATAGTGGATTTACCCAAGCCAGAAGAACCTAGAAACAAAGATCCGATCATACCAGTCAATCTACATTGCACAATTTATTCAGAAGGAAAAGATACCGACCTACTATCATAATATTGAATGTTAATCCAAAACGAAGCAATTTCTGCTTGACTTGATCCTGAATACTATCCAGTCCAATAGGCCTTTCAGGTGCCGTCTTTAGGACTCCCCAGCGCGTTGTCTCAAACATTAAATGTTTCACAACCACTATAAAATTTTCATACGATAAACCACCTAATGGAAAGAAGAAGTAAATTTTAATTCCTATTGATTCTGTGCTTGACTTAACTTGACACTGTTTAATAATTTAGTTGTAAAACAAGCGCTAAATATTTTAAAATCTCTTGACCATTTTCAGAAAGGTTTTTGCTTAGGTCCTTCGCATAACCAATTAAAGTGCCATTTAGAGGTGGGCCAAAAACTTCCTTGATTAAATCCGTAATTTTTTCCGGAGGAACGGCACCTTTTTTGCCTTCATCTCGCTTATCGAAGGCAATGTGCAGATCTAAATTTAATTGATGTACAATAAGATATGATTGCCTGGAGAATACTAATTAGTGTCTAGTCGATATCACATTTCGTTTATACATTTCAGGGTATTCATGTATTCTTATGGAATTGAAAGCACAACATGATCGCGTTTACGATGTTACTGAGACCATTTAGCGAAACATTTATGACTTATAATAAAGACAGAAATTATCTCAGCAGAAAGAAAGTTCCTCTAAAAAGTACTGCTGCAATAGTAATAGGATCATTAGGAAACTATTTTGTATCCTAATTTACGTTCAGTAAGTGAATAAGAAATGATTGCAAAATTGAACGATCATCTTGACTGCTAATATCAAAGAAATGATCCTATAATTATTAACCATTTTATATTCAAAGTATTACAAAACTATTCGCCTTCTGTTTACTACCAGTACTATAGACACTAATCTAGCTTTGCCAGTAAAAAGCCCAGCATTGCGAATTACAAAATCTGAATTACGTCCGTATTTGAAGGAAGCGACAACAATATCATCAATTAAACATACTAATGTAGCAGGCAATACGCGGTATTAATTATGAAGAAGAACGTCTAAATATTATACTTACTTTTAATCTGATCGTTTGTTAGGATACTTTCTACCGGAAACTAAATTAAATAAGCAAACCAAAAATAATTGATTAGATTTATATTGTACATACGTGCATACTGTACGTTCTCAAAGTCAAATGGTAAGCGGACGAAAGAGTTTCTGTCGCATGATGCATGTACTACAATTCATCTTTTACACTGCTGCAGTTCAAACTTGATAAGGCTGTAATTAGAGCTACACTAGGATATTACAGACTATTTGTGGTATAATTCGTCTTCTCAATACACTAGGGTCCTAATGGAATTTAATTAATTATTATTATTAGTGTCTTCAACACCAGAAGCCCTCGGTAACTCTGACTTTTGTTTTATTGTATATCAGTGACAAAGGATTCTACCAATCAATTTGGCAAGCGTTAGCATTAATCAACAGTGTGTATACGTTGGAAAGGTATGCAGTTATAGACAATTTTTCTCATTGGTCGTCCATGATCGCAGCTTTGACGGCTAATTCATTAAGATGGTATGTTACTATACGCGCATCATTGATGTACATGTGTATTATGTCCATTTATACTCGTAGTTGGCTACCACCAATTCATTTAATGGAGTTGCGAGTCAGAAATTTCATAATGAAGCTTTGCTTGTGATGATTACTCAAGGCATCTTTTCACAGAAATAAGCCAAAGTAAGAGAACTCTTTGCAGATTGAACGATATTGTGTTGCCAGAAAAGAGGCATTAATACTTGATTGAATAAATAGTCATGCCATCAGTTGTACGTATCGGATATCTTTTATCGCCGTCCTAATTAACGTGCAGTTTATGTATTCTGCCCCCGATCATTACCGGCTAGATACTATGCAACCGATCACAACATTGAATTCTGCAAGCAGATGTATTGCTATCAGTTTCAATACTATTAATAAATGATGAAAAGGATTACTTTCATAGCATTGCGAGATCGTTGTATTCATCCTTATCATGTTGGTATTCTACTACTTCATTAACGCCCGAATTTTAGCGTACTAATATTGGATTAATTATTTCAATTTGAAAGGACTTGTAGACAGTACATTGAATTGTGCAAACTTGACTGAACAAGTATTTGAGTCTAGTTTTAATCTGCCATTTCTTGCTTGCTTTAAAAAGAGATGTTGCAATTAACAAGCTATCAACTATAAAAGTGTAGAAACAACTCTCTATCATGGAGTTGATTGGAGGTTAGTGATCGATGATGTCCTGATGGTGTTTTCGACTGAAATACGCTAGTCACGATCGTTGTGGATCGATGCGGAAAAGATCTATCGCCATGGGGTTCAATGACGCCTTCTCCAAGCTATCTATGGACCAACACAGTGTATCAAACTGTCGTAACTTGGCAATGGATAAGCGGAAGAATCGCCTGGCATAGCAAGCATCCTCAGCCCTAACAAGCCAATTGATCCATTCCATGCATGATTAATCCCAAGATGATAACGAGTAGACCCAAGACGACGCTATCGATTGTCAAGTTACAGTATTGAGCGAAGAGCAGTCTACACATGATTTCATAACTACCCCCAGCCCATTTCATTCTTAAATATGGTTGAATGGATGATACCTGTCGATCTGTTGCTTACCTCACTCATTGCGATTTCCTCAATCGATGTCGATGTCTACAGCAAGCTCTACAAGTAGTAAGATGCTTCGATGCAGCCTTGGGTTGGCCTTCCTTTTGGCTTTGACTATTTCAAGCTGACGACGAAATTGCTTGCACTGATTGCCCGACACATTGGTATAGCTGGTGTGAAAGTACTGCAAGTGGATACGGTATCGCTGTACCGTACCGTATCGTACCGTACCGTACCGTACCGTATCGTCGATGGGATTTTTAAGGCGGGCAAGATGGTATTGGAACATCGGATGCCGATACTGTACAGTACAGTACAATACAGTACTACGTAAAGTGCTTCACCAAATGGTGAAATCAGGGTAAAACCAACCAGGGTTAAACCAACCAGGGTTAAACCAACCATGGTCAAACCAACCAGGGTTAAACCAACCAGGGTTAAACCAACCAGGGTTAAACCAACCATGGTCAAACCAACCAGGGTAAAACCAACCAGGGTCAAGCCATAGTAAAACTTCCACTCTGTCAGCGATCAGCCCTAGTTGTCCATACTGTACATGGTGAGATGGAGGCAAAGTGGAATCCCTGCTGTGCTATAGCGGCTATGAGGCTATGACTCATACATACTGGAGAGTGGACAATGAGTGTTCAGTACAGTAGTATGGAATCGTTGTACAGTATAGGCTAAGCAGCACATGCCAACGCCAATCCTTCGACTGTACACTGTGTGTGTCAAATTGGCATCCTGTCAGCTAGCTCTGAACTTCCTTGCACCACTGTCGTTTCCTGTTTACAACGCAGGTCCCGCATGACTTTAGTCATCAGCTAAATGATTGAATAACTAGACCATCCTCTACCTTACCCTGCTGTAGTTTGGATTCAAATTGCAAGGGGACACTGTCTAAGTTAACTGTATGATTCGATGACTAGACCATCCTACCTAACTCTAATGATTTGGATTGAAATGGCAAAGGGACACTGTCTAGGTTAACTCGACGGTATGATTAGATGACTCGACCATCCTACCTAACCCTGCTATAATTTGGATTGAAACTGCAAAAGGATACTGTCTAGGTTAACTCTATCATTAGATAACTAGTCTAGGTGAACTGTAGGATTCGATAACTACACCATCCTACCGTACCCAGCTATAATTTGGATTGAAATTGCAAAGGGACACTGTCTAGGTTAACTGGATGATTAGACCATCCCACCTAACCCTGCTATAATTTGGATTGAAATTGCAAAAGGATACTGTCTAGGTTAACTCTATCATTAGATAACTAGTCTAGGTGAACTATAGGATTCGATAACTACACCATCCTACCGTACCCAGCTATAATTTGGATTGAAATTGCAAAGGGACACTGTCTAGGTTAACTGGATGATTAGACCATCCCACCTAACCCTGCTATAATTTGGATTGAAATTGCAAAAGGATACTGTCTAGGTTAACTCTATCATTAGATAACTAGTCTAGGTGAACTATAGGATTCGATAACTACACCATCCTACCGTACCCAGCTATAACTTGGCAAACTCTATGCAATCAATCTGATGTGATAAATAAAAATGGATTACGCATTGAAAATGATTTCATTTGTAAATACTGTACAACAAAATCATTCAACCCTCTACGGAGGAGTCAAGACGATGAATCCAAGCTTCTTCACAACTCGTCTTCCTATGTACAATTAGGCATGGACTACCATGTCATGATCATATACATCACTAAACCAATACTGTAGAATAAATTTTATTATCGTACAGTCAATCTGTAGTCACCACGTAGTCCTACTGTTGATGTTTCTACTCCCATCTTGAACTCTTCCAAATAATTATTATTACTATAAAGTGCTCCATTTGAAACAATTCTTCCCGGTAAATGACTACACTACTGGCCTTCAAGCGGTCTTCATGAATATCTATCATTGAAACCATTTAAAATATCCAATCTTATAGACTATATTATAGACATATGTGCTTCTGTATATTATAAAACATATATAAAGAGAGAGGAAATGGAGAACAGAACCTTTCCCATCAATTAAAACAAAAAGCTGAAAGCAATCAATATGCCATAATCAATAAAATGCTATATCAATGCGTCCATAATACCTTCTATAAATCAAAATACTGCATTATAATATGAGTATTTACAATAATTAATAAATGTCAGATGAAATACAGCAGTTGCATACAAATTTTTCAACGTCAATATTAGTTTCTGACGCCACTTCTATATTTCATCGAACTTTCTTCCTTAGCGAACTCTTCATCTTTATCCAATAATCGATCGATATTATATTGGCTAGCAAGGTCTTCATTGGCTTGAACATAAGTCTAATTAGATCAATTAGGAAATAAAGTAAGACAGAGCGATACAGTTAGCAATGGATCATCATTGAAGCATAGTTCAACTTGCTAACCAAGCTATCGCTCATAAACTAATCCAATGTAAAGACAAACCTTTAGTGCTTGTGACTTGGTCATATTGCCTTCTTTTATCTGTCTGGCAAGAGAACTTTGAGGATGCAATAAACAATATAGGCCTATTAAATCGCAAGCATCCGATATCCTACATTTTGTGTACCATCAAGGAATTAGAATAAATTAGCAAGAATTGGATAGTTCAATATTCCTGCTACTAGGATAGCATAAAGAGGCAATTACTACGAAAGGATTACTACTGGTCAAAAAAAAGTAAACAAGCACAAATTGTTCACTGGAAAATGCCAATTTCAACATGTGCATACAATTTTCGCGTAAGCATATCAGAGAGTAACCCATGGAAACGATTCCTCTTAACAAGATGATACGCCATTCCGCCAAAATGACGGGTAGATCGTAGTAGGTCATAATTTTTATGATCATCTAGATTTTCATAAGTTTTTTGATGAACCTAAAATGCATATGAGAAAATTTAGAGCTACTGGCGATCACGATAAAAATGAGTTGGTCTACAATCCCATTTCAAGATAAAAAAATCGCGTTTACCTGGATATACATAGAAGAATCAGGCTCAAACTGAAGTACGGCTAAATCGAGGAGATCAGCATGACGTAATTGGCTGAAGCTATTCTAAAATAGAATTATTATTTCAAAAACATTGAACGATCTTTTCAATCTTAAGACCTACACCTATCAAATCAAATGCCACCATAGCACCATGGTATGGATTACATGCTAGCGTGATCTAGTGTATGTATGTTAACTTTAGCATAAATTGAGTACTTCTAAATTTTTTCCTTGAAACATAAGAGGCACTTTCAACTGTCTGCCTAACTTGGGGTAATAAATTTGGTTCATTTTATCTCTTTCGTCCCAGGTAGCATATCTCAAGGCGCCATTTGGTTCCCGTACAACAACACGACGATCCTGAAAGAATAATGCACGTAGCTATTACCTATTTGAACTACAGGCCGGTAGCTGCAATGCATCAATCAAGTCGAGATTACAGTAGTAGTAGTAGTAGTAGTAGTAGAAATCAGTCGGAAATACGTATACTGTATAATGGTATCATTTGGGTAAATTCTAATCCACTAACCCGATCAGTTGCAGATAAGCTAATATCAGTAAATATGTAATTGGCATTATCTTCATCGTAGCCTACAAACTCCTTATCAATGGTGATTACTCTGCTAATGCCTCGTTCTCTTTGAACCATCTGAGGTGGCATAGCCAATAATTGTTTGGCTTCTTGAATTGCTTTTGCTTCCGCCTAATGGTTGAAAGATTGAAGCTACGTTAGTCATTGTAAACTGTCATCCAAAGTAGTTAGGAAATTATCAATGAAAATTTTAAAAGTTGTATTTGTTTGATTCAAGTTGTATCCTCTTGCACGCACCGCTTTAAACTCTACATCTGACATTAGCTTATAAGTAGGTAACTTGGGTTGTTCTTGAGGTCTACTATGAAAAATCTTGACTAAATCTACACCAGTTATTTTCGATAAAATTTGCTGGACAGTGGGATCATTAAATCGAGGTACATCTGCATCATCTTTGTCCATTGGGGTTGCCCGCTTGGTATTTCGATGACTCTCCTTTTGCTTTCCATCGGAAGGGCGATCAGTACTTGAACATAAAGCATAATTGGTATTCTTGGAAATGGGTACAGGTAGGCGGCGATATAAAATATTCCTTGCTCTTGAAATCCAAGCGAAGGCCATTACTCTTGCTATTGAATGGACGAGGGTATCAAGATGAATAATTCTTCCAAATACGGTACAGGAATCAAGACAATCTCTTGGATAATTTGGGGTATAATTAGCCTAAAGAAATTGCCCCAAGCCACAAGAGCTACGTACTGTATTGCCGAGTATGCACAAGGTGTTATGATGCTGTTTCTAGCCAAGTGGAAACTTTACCAATCGCTTAATGCAATGGCCACCGAATGTGCAAAGCTGCTCCAGCTGGATTTGAATCTGTCGACCCTTGTCAGCGTGTGATAGCTGCACGTTGCAATTGCGTACAGTAGAGTATATTCAATCTAATTTGCTTACAGTACTGCATACTGTAGCGCTCGTCTGATCTGTACTGTACAGTACTGTACTGTACATTGTAAAATCGTACTGTACGGTACAGTCGGTACTGTACTGTTGGCAGTTGTTCGAATGATCGTAATCGGGCATCGGATGGATGGACTTTTCATACCAGATGAGGGCGAAAAGCCGAAAAGTGATTTGTATTGATGTTCGAATGATCGTAATCAGGCATCGGATGGACGGACCTTTCATACCAGATGAGGGCGAAAAGTGATCTGTACTGTACAGTACGTACTGGTTGTTCAAATGATCGTAATCAGGCATCGGATGGATGGACTTTTCATACCAGATGAGTCCGAAAATGGGGAAAACTAGTTCGTTACACAGTATGGATCTTGCTTGTCTCTTCTCGAAATCACTCGTATGAAGTTGAATGACATGGATGATCTAAGGTGACTACTTCCAAGCGGAGTTTAGTCACAGGCAATGGAATACAATATATAATATTACCTAATATAGAACAAAAAACCAATCCATTCACTACTGTAATCGACTGTCTGTATTCGAATGTGGCCAAATGTCTGCCTGTCTGTCGGCTCAGATAACGGCTGGAGCCTACAGTACAAGGAGACGCGTGAGTCCAGATAGTACTGTACAGTACTCTACAGTACTCTACAGTACGGTACTGTACAGTGTACAGTACTGTATTCCATAGTGTGCTGTACTACTGTATATAGTACTGTACACTGTACAGTATACCACAGTACAGTACAGTACTACCTTATGTTTATACGGTACTGGACGGTACAGCACAGTACAAGGAGTCCAACGTTTCTCTGCCGCAACGGAGGAAGGTAAGCGCCATCTTGATCTCCATTTTCATCCAAATTGATATCTATTACTAAGAATGAGAGCTATAATCTAAATCGAAAGTATCTACACTACCGTATTCAACTTTAGATAGCCACAAAAATAAAGTAAAGATGTTTTTCATCCCTGCATTAGCAGTGATGTCGTAGTTGAGTTTGAGCATGTTCCAAATTTTCTTCCTTCCTTAGCCACAATATTCACTATCCATCATGTGAATTTTGCCTTAAAATTATAAACAGCCAGCCTTTAGGCATCGCCTTCATTGTGCTACGTAGATAGCTCATGTTCATCCATTTTCATTTCCAATGTCTAGATTTTTTCTGCCAAAGATTAATCTCCGCTATCGATTAGTGGATAGTCGCATGGATAAATTTCAGAGAGAATTTAAGAGAGTACCGAGTATCGAGGAAATCGATAGAAGCGATCCGGTAGCTTGGTATAGAGCTCGTAATCAGTATGTCAGAGATAGATGGATCGATCGAGAAGAGATCCGAGTCTTAAGAGAGCGTATGAGCGAATGTACCAGGCGTCAAGGAGTCAATGCAAAGAAAAATTGTAGGCAAGAGATGGTCGATTATATGGAAGCTCTCACTGCATACAAAGAGAAACGTAAGCTACCCACCAATTTGCTAGCAATAGTTTACCTTATTGATAGGAGATGGTACTCAATCTTTTATAACAGAGTATTTACTTGAACTCGTTATGGTCCAACTCACTGATGATGTTATCTATTCTATGCTAATAGAATTTAGCCCTAGAAACCCAAGATGGGGAACGCTACCGGCAGGATACGAAATCAACATCGACTAAAATCCAACGCTTTTAGTGTAAAGATGATTGAATATACTTTTGCGCCTTTATAAATCTTTCATAGTCAAGATACAATCATACGAGAAACACAATATGAATTTGAAATATGGCCTAATGGTGCAGTATACTATTATCATCCATTTTAGCGTATGATCGAACGAAAAATAGACCACTGTTGAATGTTTAATATCAACTCATTTACTCTAATGGCAGTCAACATCGCTGACGTGGTACATTTCTTTCACGATGTAAAAGTTATCTTGTAAGCAATTGACGATTTACATCTTTAGAATACAATTGTATAATATCTGGTAGATGATGTTATCAAATATCTTCGCTTGCCAGGCCTTCTTAACTAAATAGTTGCTGAATGATGAAACAATAGTGCTGCATGTACAGTACTTCTATACATTAACATCTAGCTTAACGACACTTTTCCGAATGTCATAACTTGACTGTTGTAGCACCGATATCCTTAACTTGTTCATGCCAAGGATAACAGCGGTATTGATTTGCTTTGCAAAATTATGGTATCTTGCTTATTTCATTGTAATAAAAAAAATTGAAACACTTGTAATCATGTAATGTTGCAGTTTATCAATTTTTTTATTGTACCACGAGGTCTAATTACTGTTTAATTATGATTTCTATCCATAATTAATCTATATATGCCTGATTGATATTTTTAAGGTGAAAAGTTAAATGAGATGGAAAAATAGTTATTTACCACGAGTGGATGCTGATCTGCGCTTGTGGAGTAGCTTTGTTATTGTTCATTCTTTCTACCACTAATTTTGACCAGGAATTACTTCTTATGGCAATAATCATTCTTATTAACAACTAACCGTAAAGGATTTAATTGGCTTTAAAAAAAAAGTCAGTTAACCGTTCACATTGTTCTTTAATAATATCAAAAACATATTAGAAAGAGTGAATAGTACAGAAGGAGTACTTTCATTCTTACCAAAGATAAGGTTGATTCGCATTCCACTCCATGGTTTAAATGCTCGTGAAAATTGTTATATCCAGTAATACTGAAACAAATGAATACTTACATATCTAAGCACTTCCTTGCTTATTATCTAAGAAAACCCTTATCCGGAGTCATTTCCATACTGAGCTACCGAAACGACTCAGAATAAGCCAAGAGGTAATAGTTACTATCATTCTAGCAATCTTGACTACTTCTTACGATTGAACTAATCCTCTAAATATTATTCATTCTGTCATAATTAAAAAAATTTACTCAATCAAGTCGTATTCTAAGGTATTGCACACGTAAATCAATCACCGTTTATCCCATCATATCCAGTAATGGCTAAATTGATAAATATAATTGTCACAGTATTAAATTACCCTAAGTAGTTCTTATGTGTGCATATGTAGATTTAGTCTATATTAATCGTGGATCTGGATTGATTTAAAAATGGATAAAATAGAAAGACCAGGTGTATATATAAGAAATATTCTCCAATTTTATTGAAGCAATTATTTGAATAAGCTTAAGTAACTATAACTGAAATGAATGAATTTATTTTACGTTAAAACTTTTTAAAAGTGTATCTTCCCATGCAAGGTATTTATTAGGCGTTCGAGTCAAATTTCATAATCGATAGACGTGATTGCCTTCATAAGTTTTATTCTTAATTCTTCATCATAATGCAACAAACTATTGTGAAGAAACTATCGAAATATGTAAAGCAAAATCAACTTAAAAATAAACAGTGATCAAAAATGGCCTTCTATCGTTATACAAGCCATCAATTTGAAATAATATCCAAATTCTTTTGACTAAAAAACCAGTAAATGAGTGATATCGAATTGATGATTTAACATTATGCTTAATGTTATATGATACGTATTGCAGAGAAGTCGAAAGCTAAATATTGTACTTCTAATGCCTCACTAACACAATATGACGGCACATAATAGCATTGATCAAACTGGATATATTTAGAAATGAAGGTAATCGAATTACGTCAGATGATAATCAAATCGTTATTTTTTTGCAAATTATTTTCACAACATGTATTATAATCATAATAAGCAATAAATCCATCAATATTGAAATTTATAGCTAGCAGGTGCGTAGTATTATTGAGGTGATAAAATCTCCAAGTATTACCTTAAATTTATCAATACGAAATCAATATTAGTATCGTGCAATAACTGACTACAACATTACATAGCATACAATGTGGCAAAATTATCAATTAACTTTTCTAGAATTGAAATTATTCGTACACAGCTATAACATGACAGTGGCATAATCATCGTGCTTTATTCAAATTTTTTAACTGCCTTACTCATGTACATATATAAATATTACCATAATAACTTAGACGATGTAGTGATGTATAATAAATATATATATGTCATACCGTGCCTATATGTTTGACTATATTATGGTTTTTATATATTTTATCTTGAATATGATTATTAATAAAAGAGACAGAATTAGATATGATTCTTACGCTATTGAAACGACTACATAAAAATTGCAATAATGCAGAAGAGCATAATTAGCAATATTGCTATTCTATTAATTTTAGAATTAAATAAAGAAATTCAGATGAGATGCTTTATTTAGTTCTATTGCAAGCTTGAATGTACTTGGTGTATAACTTCCGATAGAATGCGTATAGTTTATAGCTACAACCAATTTAAAAACATTACTATTATGAGGTGAATGATAGTCCAATTGTACCAATTAAGTTGGGTATATCTCTAAATAGGAAATTGTTGACCTATTCGACAGATGTTTTTTACGATATGATACAACTTTGACTGATCATTTTACGCTTATTTGACATCATACGATTTCGTCGTGTTGAGGCTGTACTGTCCATGACAGTAACTGATTTAACTTTATTGAATTTTTTCCTTCTTGTATTACTATCCCATGATGATGTTGATGGCTTTAAATGCTCTAATGAAATACGACACGGTAGCGGTATCTGTGTTAAGATATTAAAAAAGACACTGTAAACATTTTGATCATTTTTAGCTGATATTTCCATATGATCGCAACCCCAATTTGCTGCAGTTAAATTAGCTGATGATTGAGCAACTTGTCGATCTACTTCCAAATCGCTTTTATTACCAACAATTAAAATTTTATAATCTTTACCGCTTTTTTCCTCCAAAATTTGTTGATATATCACTTCTAGCATTGTAAATGATGCTAAATCATCAATAGAATAGACTAAGGCAAATGCATCACCATGCATTATAGACCATTTACGCATTGCCGGGAATTCATTTTTACCAGTGGTATCGATAACATGCAATTTTAATGTAAAATCGTTTACCATAATTTCTTTACGATGGCTATCTTGTAGAGTTGGCTGATAGTTATCGTTCAATTTATCGTAAAAAAATCGTGATACCAACGATGTTTTGCCTACACCGGCTGATCCTAAAACAACTAGGCAATATTCGGCTGCATTACAACATGGCGATGTCATTTTGGTATGATAAGATGTTGATTTGGGAAATTTAATCGACATGATGGCGAGATTGTGATTCAATTTTAATCTTTTACTAATAAGCTAAGTCGATACGTTTTGACTAGCTTTTGTTTATAGGTCAAGATGATAGTTATAAAGTACCCTTTCTCTTTCAATTTGTTTTTATCAACTGAAATGTCCAACTTTAGCTTTCGCCCACGGATATTTATGTCGAAAATGGCAGCCACCGCCTCCTTGTCCTATTATATCGAATGAATAAAAAAATCGATTTGGATTTGGTATTCTTTTCCTTGAAGAGTGATATTTAATCCTTATTTAAAACAATAACATTAGCTTAGATTGTAAAAGAATATTGAATGAAAAACCCATCCGGCTAAAAATTGAAAGTTAAACTGATAGATTACAGAATACTCAGAATGATGATATGGTAAAGTAGTAGTTTAAATGATACCGTCCGTAGTAATAA